ATATATATATATATATATATATATTATATATGTGTGTGTGTGTGTGTGTGTGTGTGTGTGTGTGTGTGTGTGTGTGTGTGTGTGTGTGTGTGTGTGTGTGTGGTGTGTGTGAGAGAGAGAAAGAGAGAGAGAGAGAGGAGAGAGAGAGAGAGAGAGAGAGAGAGAGAGAGAGAGAGAGAGAGAGAAGAGAGAGAGAGAGAGAGAAGGAGAGAGAGAGAGAGATGAGAGAGAGAGGAGAGATGAAGAGAGAGAAGAGAGAGAGAGAGCACGAGAGAGAGAGAGAAGATCGACATGCATATATATTATAACCTTAGTTTGTGTCTGCGACCCGAGAACCGAGACCAAGTCGCTTCCAGAAGAAACATCCTCCGCAAAGCCCTCACGCGTTGTATGTCCTCCGCAGGGTCCCCCGAAGATCACGGAAGGAGGCGCGTGTGCGAGTAACGGCGGCGGAGCAAGCTGGACGTCGAGATGGACACCCTCTTCCTGAAGGGCGCTGGACGGCTTCCTGCTGGTGCTCTCCACGGACGGCGACGTCGTCTACACGTCCGAGAACATCGTCATTTTCCTGGGCCTCTCGCAGGTGGAGTGGAGGGGTGGGGGTGAGGGTAAGGGAGGGGGGGGCAATAGGAGGGGGGTGATGGGTAAGGGAGTGGGATCAGGAATGGTGGGTGGGTGGGGGATAGGTAAGGGATGGGAGGGGGGGCAATAGGGTTGGGGGGGGGGTTGGGAAAGGAGTGAAGGGGGTGGAGAACATCGGCATTTTCCTGGTCTCTCGAGGTGAGTGCAGGGGGTTGGGGGGAGTGGGGAAAGGGGTGAGGGTGGGGGCCGGGAGTGTGGGGGGGATTGGGGGGGCAGTGGAATAGTGGGGTTTAAGGTGGAGAGGGGGTTGGGGGAAGTTGGGTAGGGGGGGGAGGGGAGTGGTGGGGGGGGCATGGGATGGGACGGGAGTGGGGGGTCAATGAGGTTGGGGGTTAGGGAAAGGAGTGAAGGAGGGCGGGGTGGGTGGGGTGAGGAGAAGGAGTGGGAGGAGTCCATGGAGTGTTGTGAGAGGCAAGTGGGTGGGGAGAGGAGTGTGGGCAGATGGGTGGTAGGTTGGGAAAAGGATGAAGGGGGAGGAGTGGGTAGGAGAGGGGAGTGCGGAGTGAAGTTGCCAATGAGGTGGGGGGAGAAGAGGGGGTCAGGAGGCTAGCTGGGGGGGGGGGGAGGGGGGTAAAGGGAGATAAAAAAGGGGACAAGGAAGTAATTAGGAGAGGAGGATAAAGGCGATAGGGAAGGAAGGAGAGAAAAGGTCGGGGAAACAGGAAACAAATGGAGGAAAAAGGAAGGGGAAGAGGATGCAACTTAGAAAAAGTTGGGAACGACACGAGAGACGGAAACTGGGTGAAGTAAGGAATGAGAGAAGAGAGGAAAAAAAGAAAAAGAGAAAAGTGAGAGAAAGAAAAAAAGGGAAAGAAAATTAGGTAAGGGAGAAAAAAAACGCAAAAAGATAAATAGGAAGGAAGGAGTTAAGAGTAAAAAGGGTCGCGAGACGGCAAGGGGAAAAGGAAAAGGAAGAGAGAGGCAAAGGCAACAGAAAAAACAAACAAACAAACAAACAAAAAACAGAGAGAGAAGAGAGGGCAGCCCCATCGCGACGCGGCTCCACCTCCGGGTTGGGCGAAGGCAGAAAATTGCAGGCCGTAATCTGGTTGTCCTCATCCGACGCGGCTCCGACTCTCCCTCTTTCTCTCTTTCTCTCTTTCTCTCTTTCTCTCTTTCTCTCTCTCTTTCTCTCTCTTTCTCTCTTTCTCTTTCTCTCTTTCTCTCTCTCTCTTTCTCTCTCTCTTTCTTTTCTTTCTTTTCTTCTCTTTCTCTTTTTTCTTTCTTCTCTTCTCTCTCTCTCTCTCTTTCTCTCTCTCTCTCTCTTCTCTCTCTCTCTCTCTCTCGTCTCTCTCTCTCTCTCTCTCTCTCTCTCTCTCTCTCTCTCTCTCTCTCTCTCTCTCTCTCTCTCTCTTCTCTCTCTCTCTCTCTCTCTCTTCTCTCTCTCCCCTCTCCCTCCTTCCCTCCTCGCCATGCTCTGGCCTGTGATATATATTTTTTTTGCATGGCTTCCACGCATGGCGACCCGCGTGCAGAAGGCCTCACGCAGCCCCGTCGCCGCCCCTTGTTGCGTCGGCTGTTGGGCGTCGCAGCCTCGCCGTTGCATAAGCCCCCCTCGCGGTGGGTCGGGCTTGGGTTTCTCGTCTTGGCTTTCGGCTTTGTTTTTTTTTTTTTTTTTCCTTCTCTCTGTCTTTCGTTTTCTGTGGTTGTTATCTCCATTTCATTTACTAGCCATTTCGTGCGATTTCTCTCCCCCCCCCCCCCCACTCGGTCTCCTCCCCCTCCTCCCCGTCCAAGCCCCGCCCCCTTGCACACATTCCCTCCTCCCCTTTCCCCCCCCTTCCCCCCTCTTCTCTTGGGGTGTCGATGGACCGCCCCCGGGACACAGAGCGGCCTTGTCTGCGGGTGGGCCAGGTGGCCTTTTTTTCTCTGCTGCGGGACGGGCAGGGCCAGGATAGGAGGGAGGGGGGGGCAGGATAGGGAGGGAAGGGGGGATAGGAGGAAGGGGGAGGCAGGGGAGGAGGGGAAGGGCAGGGTGGGAGGAAGGGGGGCAGGATAGGAGGAACGGGGGGAGGGCAGAGAGGGAGGGGGAGGTGAAGGCAGGGTGGAGGAGGAGGGCAGGATAGGGTAAGGGGGGGCAGGAGAGGAGGGAGGGGAAGCAGGGTGGGAGGAAGGGTGGGGGCAGGAAGGGAGGAAAGGGGACGGGGGCCAGGGTGGGAAATGGGGGGATTTGGGGGCGGGGATGTAGGATACGCAACGGAGGCCGGAAGTGAAGGGGGGGGGGGGTCCTTTAGGAAGGGATTTTTTCGCGGATGCCACGTCTTGAGGGCGAAAAGGAGATTGGAGAATGAAGGGCTGGGGTGTAGTTAAGTGGAGGGAGGGAGATAGGGTGGATAGATGGATGGATGGGCGGGCGGGTTGATGGGACAGGCATAGAGGACAGAGGCAAGTAGGGCTTGAATGGTCTCAAGGGCGGTCTCCTGGGCGGTCTCATTGGGCGGTCTCTTGGGCGTCTCTTTGGGCGACGGCAGAGGCTCCCGGGAGGGGGGGGGGGACCGGACTTGACGCGAGGCGAACGCATCTTAGGAGGAGACTATGGGTCGCGCTTCCAGAACGACGCGCTGCGGCCGCCTCATTTTTCTTGCCCTTCCTTCTTCCTTCCTTTCCTTCCTTCCTTCCTTCCTTCCTTCCTTCCTTCCTTCCTCCTTCCTTCCTTCCTTTCTTCCTTCGTCCCTCCCTCTCTCCTTCCCTCCTCCCCCCTCCCTTCCTTTAACTCTCTTTTTAACTCTCCCTCACGTCTTTCTCCTTCTCTTCTTCAGCCGTCTTCCCTTCTCCCCTTTTCTTCCTTTTTCACCCCCTTCCCCTTCCTCTCCACCTTTCTCTTCTGTACCCTGCCCCCCCCTTCCTTCTTCACCTTCTCCCTTAATCTTAATCCTGCTTTCCCTTCCTCTCCGCCATCCCTGCCCCTCTCTCTCTCTTCTCCTTTCCTGTTTCCTCTCACTCTCTACCTTTCCCTTTTCCCTCCGGTCAATTCCCTTCCATCATCCCCCCCCTTTGTTCCTGCCCCCCCCTCGTATCCCCTCCTTCCCTCCTGTTCCCCCTCTGTCCTCTCTTCCCTTCCCCTCTCCTTCTCTTTCCCATCCCTCTCCCTCTCTTCCCTTCCCCCTCTCCCCTCTTCCCTTCACCTCCCCTCTCCCTCTCTTCCCTCCCCTCCCCCTCTCTCCCCCCCCTTTCCACCGTCCCTCCTGTCCCCCTCCCCCTAAGCCATCGCCCCATAGTCGCCGCTCGGGTATCCGCACGTCCGGATGAGCGAGCGCCGGCACCCCCTCTGCCATCGACGGCTCGGGACAAGAGAAGTTACCACGCGGATCCTCCTGTAGAACGCGGGAATAGATGCGGGACATTTTTTTTTCGTTTTTCTTTCTCGTTTTCTTTCTGTCTTTCTTCTTCCGGCGTTCTGTATTTTTTTTGGTGCTGTCGTTCTGTCGTCAGAGATTTTTTAGGTGGTTTTGGCGTGTGACGGAGGGAGGTAGAGAGAGAGAGGACAAGAGAAAGAGAGAGGACAAGAGAGAGAGAGAGGAGAAGGAGGAGGGAGGAGAGAGGGAGAGAGAGAGTGTGTAGCTGAGACATTATTTTTTATTTATCGCTGCCGCTGTGATTCAGGAGGCTTCTCCTTGCGCAATTGGTTGTCCGAGTAAAGCCAATTTATTGCACCAGCTAATCACAGGCAATGACAAGCCGGAAAAAAGGAAAGCCGGAAAAAGGGAGGCCGGAAAAATGAATGAAGTCGAGTATGTCCTCGACGCTTCTCGGTCTCTCTCGGCGGCCGCAGTTGTCTGTCATGACATGTCTGCCGCTTCCGAGTCCCAGCTGATCCAATCGTCTTTCGTTTTGGTCAGATGCCACTCACGGAATGGTTCATTTGGGAGGAAAATGGAAGGAGGATTGCGGCGTCATATTCCCCCCACCCCCCCTTCGAGCCGCGGTTTTGACGCCTTTGGTCAGACTCGGACCTAAATTCCGGGACAGGGAGAAAATCCGTGGGGCTGTTTGGCGGGGAGGTTTGAAGCTTGTAAAAAGTTTACCGAATACAGAATACATTACAAAAATACAAAAAAAGAATACAAATAGAATACAGAAATAGGCGCTGGGCTGTAATTCCGATACCCGAGATGGTGGATTTTTTTTTTTTTAATGCTTTGGAAATTATCACCAAACCAGGGAACTGACACTGACACTGTGAAACACTGTGACAGAAAAAAAAAGACAGTGACACTGGAAACCGAGAGAGCGCCGCCTAGGCCAGCCGCCCGCCGTCCCGCCCATGTGTGCCAAGGTCACCTGCGCGCCGCGCCCCCGATCGTCGTTTGGCCGTTCCCTCGCGCTCGCCAGGATTGCCTTAGGCATATGATATATGA